ATATATATATATATATACCCATAGAGATATAGATAGATATACTATATATATATATATATATATATATATATATATATATATATATATATATATATATATATATATATATATATTATTTTAAATTCTAGTATATTATTTAGCTAGTTACTTTTCAATTGTCACTATTAGTCCAATTTACTAATTAATTAGTTGAGAGTAGAGATTATTAACTTGCAGCAAAAGACGAAATTCCTCGCCCCAGAACTCCTATTCATTGGCGCAACAAATATTTGATCATAAAGAAATATAAATCATGAGAGATTATTAACTTTGTTAGATGAATGGAGGACGAAAGATGTCATATCAATATTACAACAATCCCTTTAAAACCGTTATATTTGCAAAAGAATATAAAACACTGCAGAAATTTTCAATTTAGGGGTTAAAGTATAAGTTCTGAATATAACTATTTATTTTAATCGAAATCATAAAATTGGGGGACTAAGTTGAAGCTTTTGAAAACTTAAGTGACCCTAATCAGATTTGTATTCTTTCCCTGCCCAAATCAGAACTAATATAAAAATTGTTGGACCTAGGTGCAATTTTAAATGTTTTTAAACAAAACACTTCCGCTCCCTCTCTTCAGTAGTCGGTGTTACAAACCCTAATCCATTTCCGGCGCCACGAAGAACTCCGGCAGAATCCGTTGGAGCCCATTCTAATCCGTCCCGTTCGATAAATCGCCGCCACATTGCCGGAAATTTGTCGCGGTGGCCTCCTTTACGGTTTCACTAACCCCGTTCCGTCCGATACAGCGGCGTTCCGGTGAAGCATGCGTACAGCAGTTGTAAACTTGTAATTGCTCAAGGAATTCTCCTTTGGAATAGGTATTATCCAGTTGTTTCTGGTTTATTGAACTTTATTTTTGCCTAATATTGGATTGAATTTGAGGGTTTTACGAGAATATTTTATGTTTGCGTATGCACAGTTGATTAATTGATTTTCTCTCTGCATTCTAATCATTTTTAATTCATGCTAATTTGAGTACTGTTTGCTATTATCACCAGCTTGCTACGTACCTTATCGGCTTGTCGGCTCTGTCAGCTGAAATTCGTCTATTCTAAGTATGGAGGTTGATGTAGGGATGCTAAAACCCATCCCATTGCCTCAAACACAGTGCAAAAGAAGAAGAATTTCTATGAATTGTTCAGATACTTCCGCTTCATGTAACACCTCGCATGAAGTTGAAAATTCTTTACCAACATTGAAGTGTTCTGATTACTACACAAAACCTTGCTTAAGTGAGTTGGCTACTCGGGAGTTAATGGATCCTGGTTATTGCAGCAGAGTCCAAGATTTTGTTGTTGGAAGGGTCGGCTATGGATACATTAAGTTTACTGGTCAGACAGATGTTAGATGTTTGGATTTGGACTGCATCGTCAAGTTCAATAGGTGTGAAGTTGTTGTATATGAAGACGACAGTTCCAAACCTTTAGTTGGTCAGGGTCTTAACAAGCCAGCTGAAGTAACTCTACTACTACGATTAAAATCTTTGAAAAGTTTAACCGCGGATTGCTTAAGAGATATCAGGGAAAAGTTGAAGTGCAAGAGCCAGAGTCAAGGGGCACAATTTATTTCATTTGACCCAGTCAGTGGTGAATGGAAATTTTTAGTGCAGCATTTTAGCAGATTCGGTTTGGGTGAAGAAGATGAAGAGGATATTCCAATGGATGACGTGTCGCCCGCTGAAGATCACGCAGACATGAACGGTAGCGATATGTCAGATATGTATGAAGAGGATGCTTCAGTAGACAGGACTCTACTTTCACATTCTCTTCCTACTAATCTCGGTCTCGATCCTGTCAGGATGAATGATTTGAGGATGATGTTGTTTTCTTCAGAGCAAGACGAGGTAGAGGGTCTCAATAACATGTTTTCACATGATATTTCACCTTTTGCTAAAGAAACCTCAAGATCTCCATTATTACAGCATTCATCTAAAAAGTCAGCTCGGAAGACGAATACCCCTCTTACTCGCAAGACTCCTTTAGCTATAAAAGAGTATAACCCTGGAAATTTTAGCTCTAGTTCACCTGGAGGTATTTTAATGGTCCAACAGAATAAAGGCTTGCATCTACCAGTAGCAAAATCTGTAGGTTTTGAGCTGCATCTTAAGAATAATACACCAGTAACTGAAAGCCATTCTCGTAATATAGTTGACGCGGCATTATTTATGGGCAGATCATTTCGAGTAGGTTGGGGACCTAACGGGGTCCTTGTTCATTCTGGTATGCCTATTGGTAATAATGATACTGATGTTGTGTTATCGTCAATTATCAATGTCGAAAAGGTTGCAATTGATAAAGTGACAAGAGATGAAAACGGTAAAGTTAGGGAGGAACTCACTGATTTTTGTTTCAGCTCTCCCCTCAGTCTTCACAAGGAATTGAGTCACGAGACCAGAAAAGTTGAACTGGGAACCTTTGAGCTGAAACTTCAAAAGCTTGTCTGCGACCGTTTGACTCTGCCAGATATTTGTCGAAGATATATAGACACCATTGAGAGGAAACTAGAGGTACCTAGTCTATCATCTGCTTCTCGTGTTTTGTTGATGCACCAAGTATTGGTCTGGGAACTGATTAAAGTTCTCTTTTCAACGAGAAAAACGTGTGAGCAATTGAAGACTATGGAAGATGAAGAGGAGGATATGATAACAGATGGGAGGGAAAGTTATCCCAATGTTGAAGATGAAGCACTTCCACTTATTAGGCGAGCAGAATTTAGTTATTGGCTTCAAGAGAGTGTTTATCACCGTGTTCAAGAGGAAGTGAGTTCGCTAGATGAGTTGAGTGATTTAGAGCATATATTTTTGCTTCTTACCGGTCGGCAACTGGATTCTGCTGTAGTACTTGCTGCTTCGAGAGGTGATGTGAGACTGTCTTGCCTTTTGAGCCAGGCCGGTGGGTCCCACGCAAATCGTGCTGATATTGCCCATCAGCTTGATCTTTGGAGGAAAAACGGGCTGGATTTTAATTTTTTTGAGGAGGATAGGGTGAGGCTTCTTGAATTACTTTCTGGCAACATTCATGGAGCTTTGCGTGGTGTAAAAATCGACTGGAAGAGGTTCTTGGGGCTGTTAATGTGGTATCAGCTTCCGTGCGACATTTCATTACCTGATGTTTTTAATACCTACCAGAAGCTTCTTAATGACGGAAATGCTCCATATCCTGTTCCGGTTTACATCGATGAAGGACCAATAGAAGATGTGAGCGATTGGGCTGTGAATGGTCGTTTTGACCTTGCGTATTATCTTATGCTTCTTCACGCCAGGCAAGAGAACGACTTTGGTGCTTTGAAGACCATGTTCAGTGCCTTTGCCTCGACTAATGACCCGCTTGACTATCACATGATTTGGCATCAGCGTGCAGTTTTGGAGGCCATTGGCACTTTCAGTTCAAAGGATCTTCATGTTCTTGACATGGCATTTGTTTCTCAGTTGCTCTGTCTTGGGCAATGTCATTGGGCTATCTATGTTGTGCTTCACATGCCTCACCGTGAAGATTATCCTTATCTGCAAACTATTGCCATAAGGGAAATCCTCTTCCAGTATTGTGAAGTTTGGAGTACTCAGGACTCGCAATGGGAGTTCATCGAAAATCTAGGCATTCCTTCGGCATGGTTGCACGAAGCTTTGGTTAGTTTGTCTTTTGACCAGTTAATATTTGTGTATATTGGTTTTAATTTTTTCCTTTTTCTGAACTCTCCGTGATCATATTTCTAGATGTCTTTTATTGTATATTTCTGGTACCTTGTATGACTGCATATTTGTCTAGATATTTTTAACATCTGGAACTGTGGGCATTCATAATATTTACTTTTGGCGGTGGGAATTGGATTGTGACAGAATTATTAGTGCTGGTTGTTTGCCTCTATGATGATTAGTATTCTGTAATTCTTACTCGAAAGATTTCTCATATTGCCTTCTCTCGCTTTATTAATGCAGGCAATATTTTTCAGTTACACTCGTGACCTCCCAAAAGCTTTGGATCACTTTCTTGAATGTGGAAACTGGCAGAGAGCACATTCCATCTTCTTCACTTCAGTTGCCCATTCTCTGTTTTTGTCTGGTAAGTAACTAATTTACTCATTTGTGGCATTGAGTTTATTGACTCCATTTAATCATGTTCCGTTGGTACATTTTGGAAATTTAGTTTGGACTGTTTGCTGAAATGACTGTTTATTTTTCCTGCACGTGACCGGTTATGTATTCTTATTGTTCCGTATATTGTAAGTTTTGCCTAATATACAGTTGTAATCTGCCTGCAGTTGGAGTTTTACCAAGATGTTAAAGTAGATTTTAGATCCAGAAATATATTTCATAGTGTCAGAACATTAATTTCTGTCCGTGTTACTCTTCATCTGGTGTCATCTATTTGACAAAAAAAAAAAAAGTGATTTTTGATTGATTTCGTGCAGCAAAACATTCAGAGATTTGGAGGCTTGCAACACCCATGGAGAATAACAAGTCGGAAATCGAAGATTGGGACCTCGGTGCTGGAATTTACATTTCATTTTATACATTAAGAAGTTCCTTGCAGGAAGATAGCAACACCATGACTGAAGTGGTACAGTTTTCTCTTTTTACGTTACATAAGTAGTCTCGAATTGGAATACTTCCTTGTAATAATCAGTCTATTTTCCAGATGGCTTCCAACTATTCGGTAGATATTCTTTTAACAATTTTTATGCAGACTGAAAAATATTTTTTTGGCAGGAAACTCTTGAAAACAAAAAGGATGCATACGACTTTATTGGTCGGCTAAACAAGTCTTTGGCAATTTGGGAGAGCAAATTATCAGTTGATGCAAGGTATTGATATCTTCCTAGATATTGTTTCTTTCATGACACGACTTCCTAGATATGGTTTGTTTCAAGTCGGTATATATCTATTCTAACGTACTTATTATATGGCAGAGTGGTGTACTCGAAGATGGCAGAAGAGATTTGCAATCTGCTTATTTCCGATAGCAACGAGGGGTCAACAAGTGAGCTTCAGCTTGACTGCTTCAACACTGTTATGAGGGCACCTTTGCCCCACGATCTCCGTTCTTGCCATTTGCAAGACGCTGTTTCAGTTTTTACTACTTATCTTTCTGAAATTTCTCAGTAGCCACCTTCTTTCTAACCGTTCTTTTTTTGGTTTCTCGGTTAAATTTTGTAATTATGGGGTGCTTGTTATTCGAACCTGAGGATTCCTTGTTTGGCGGAAATTTACATTCGTGTGGCTTTCGAGAACTAATTTTTTTTTTATTATGTTCCAGATTTTGTCTAAACAAAATTTATTGCAGAGTATTAAAAAAACTTTATATACACCCAAATTTTAATTTTTACAAGAGAAACAAGAATCTGGCAGTTAAAGAAGCTGAGGCAGAATCAGGAGGAGGTGGGCCAGCACGTGGGGCCATGGTGGCTGGGGTGGGGCATTCAGCATTGGTGGTTGGTGCACCAGCATCCGGCTGAGGAGTTGCCGGCGAGGGGGTGGTCGCCGGTGGATTTGCGCCGCCACCAGCAGACGAGTCTAGTACTGTAACGGTTAGTTTCGGACCGAATTGGCAGTAGCGGCCCAGGGTGCAGATGTAGTGGTGGTTGCCGGCGGCGATAACATCACCCACTGCATTATTACGGGTGCGCACATCGTAAGAGGCTTTCGGCACTCGGACGACGTCGTGCTCGTTTGTCACGAAATTACCTACGATGTCATCGACATTGAAGGTTTTGCCCATAGCCCAATTAGAGTACGATACAGAAGTGTTTGAGGGTATATCCCATCCCATGCTACTTCCAACTATATACACATGTTGTGCCGACGCACAAAATGTGTATATACCACAAAAAACAATTAAGCGCGAAATTCTATCCATTATTGCTTTATTCCAAATTATTATGATTTTTTTTTTTTGTTTTGTAAATGGAATATTGAGAACTTTTATTAGTGATTTATGAGATGAGAAACTTGTGGCTTGCAAAGTGTTTATTTGTAGAGAAACTATATATATTGAAATAATGTTGAATTTTATATATGGGAAATTGCCTGATTTTAACACCGGTCTTTGTAATCCGCCGAGTGGAATTAATTCATTCCTAATTGGTGAAATTAGATAGAAATTCCAAGTCTGGACTCAATCAATATTAATTATGAGGAAAAATCAAATGTGCTTCTTCAATTTATTATTATTATTATTATTATTATTATTATTATTATTATTTAATCATTAATCTTTGTTGGACTTTCTTGAAATATATTGACCCTATCTTGACTAGAGAAATAGAGATGCTCCAATTTCTTGGGAGATTCTTCCATTGTTTGTAATAAAAACCAAGTAAGATAAACCATCTATATGGCTTCAAATCATCCTTCTTCATAGCGATTGTTTTTCCAACCAGAAAAACCACGTGGCGAAATCTAACTGGGGGAGCACGGAGTCTTTCCCTGTGGAAGAGCACACTCTATCGACCCCTCACCACAAGAACTTTGCACGTGGGCGGCCTATTTTAGACAGGAACGCGCACGCTCCGCTATCGTACGCCTCCCCACCTTTATATAGTAGCCGCGTAATACGGTTACCCCAGTTACGCACCTTCTCAATTCTCAGAAATTTCAAAGTTAGATTCCCCTCTCTCTCTTTCTCTCTCTACACTTTCTCTCTCCTCTCTCTCTCACTTCAGTGTTCACTGGAAGAAGAAGAAGAAGAAAAGGGGAAGATTATTTCCACATTTCAACATTATGAATTTCATCTCATATTTGTAGGAACTGAACAATTGAGTTTTTTTCGAGAAAGGATTTGTGATTTCGTGGAGAAAAATGTCTGGTTCTTCGTCAAAAAAAGACGCTCCGAACTCGAAGCGGCCCTTCAATTCGGGCGCCATGGATCGTTTTCTCGCAGGTTGTTTAATCATTTAATTTGTCGGTGTTTTCTACGATTTTTGTTGGAATTTGAAGCTTGATTCTCGATTTTTTTAATTAACGCCTCAATTTTTCGATTTCTGGCTCTGAAGTTGAAAGCCGATCGTTGAGTGTGATTTTAGGCATTGTTTTCGAGAGGAGAAATTCAGTTGTTGTTTGGATAAATGAAATAGATGTTCAATTGATTGGAATTAGTGTGTGTGTGTGTGTGTGTGTGTGTGTGTGTGAAGTTTTATCTATTTGATCTATTTTTAGTATGTAAAGATGTTGGTGCATCTTCATGAAGATGGCAAGGGAAATTTCAACTATTTATTTTCGGGTTTTTTTATTCTTGAAATTTGGTGTTGCATTGCCCATTCTTGGAAATCATGTATGCTTTACAAACGAATTACTTCGATAAACTCGAGAATTACATAAAAATTCCTTCAAACACCGGATTAAGTTGCTATGCTCTGTATTTTGTAGCTATGTTTCCAATCCCGATACTCAACTCTGTGCTATCAATTGCAAATGAATTTTATTAACAAATTAGTGATAGTTGCGAGAATATATAATTAAGTGATAGTTGATTAACAATGAAAAGGAAAACAAGTGATAGTTAATCAACACGAAAGAGAAAAACAAGGAATTGAACACATTTTTCGTATTGTACAAAGTGGAACTGAAAATGAGAAAGGCCAAAGTGGAATCAGCTGTTGTATCTCTGGTTTATCCTTGTCTTAAATCAGTTGTTGTATGCGCTCGTATCTCTATGAAAGAGGTAAAAGAAGTCATGACTGTTGTAGCATTAGAGAAGATTAGAGCATCCTCAAGACTATCTGTGCGCTGGTTCTTTCATTATTTTTTTTTTTTGCATTAGACTTATTCATTTACATTTGTTTTGTTATGTAAATGAATAAGCATTTTTTGCCGTTTAGTCATTCCAGCCTAACTGTTAAGCATTTTTTTGTGTCCAACAGCTGCTCATAAAAAATTATCCAGCGAGGCGGAGCGAATCGATCAACTATTCTATTCATATGCTATAACTCCCCCGTGGGTTATTCAGTAAGTGTCCTCCACTTATATCTGTTTTTACATATTGAGTAAGTGGATGATAGCCTTAAAGGGAGCCATTTCTATTTTTGCGTTTCTAGAGAAAAATAGAGCTTATCTAAATGTAGTAGTGATAGACACTTGTAAATATTTTAGAGAAGTACTTACTATTTGGAAAGTTGAACGTAGTACAGTTGATTTTCTCCGTGTTTCTCTCTATTCTCACTGTCCGTCATAGAATCCTTGACCCAGGGGAGCTTTACAATATTATAGTTTCTTGTATTTCCTCTTTCCCTATGCTCTGCTTTTTTCTTGCGGAGTCGGAATATATCTTCTATTGATTTTTTGTTATAAACTGAAATAACTTTCGAAGATGAAAAGGAGAGATTTATCAATTATTAATTTATGTGATATATAGCCAGTCATCTGTTTGTTATGGAAAAGCATATCATAAATGAGTCACTTTCTTCTCCTGCAATTGGAGTAAACTTAGCAGTCATTTTTTCCTGTTTCTGATATTTGCTTATTTAATTGTGGGATTTTTTTTACTGGCCAGACCCCAAGGAATTGATACTCTCTGCTCAGATTTAGGAATTCACCATACGGATGTCCGGATATTAATGCTAGCTTGGTGAGTTCATGTCACATTTGGTTTCCCTAAATTTGATGTGTTCTATATACAATTGGAATTGATACTCTCTGCTCAGAGTTAGAAATTGACCGTGGTGACTTTTTTAGGAAAATGCAAGCGGAGAAACAAGGATACTTCACCCTGGTAAGAGCAATTCAATAATGCTAATTGACTGTCAAATGCATTTTCACTAAACGAGTCTGTCAAATGCTATTGTTTTTTAATCTGGCATACGATGATATTGTTTTCCTTGGTTTGATTCCTTGACTCCAGATTATTCAGCTGAGTCTTCTAATATCTTTGCGCACTGCTTGTCTATGCGTATGAACTATTAACTCTAAGAAGTGAAGTGTGAATTTCCTCTAGTCAATATCTACTGAGTGAAGTGGCATACTTTTTTAGGATTTATTCCACATCATCAATAATAATTTTTCGTATTCTCTGAAAGAGGAAACCAATGAAATAATTTGAAATTGCATTGAAATATATGCTTGCAATTGCATGTATGATCTTGAATTACTTACTGTTGGCTTCTTACTATTTGAATGATCATCGTATTTATCTTCATATTTAGGATGAGTGGCGTAGAGCTCTTACAGCACTGAGAGCTGACACAATAATTAAACTAAAGGCAGCACTACCAGAACTTGAGAGAGAGGTAGATCATCTCTCTTTCTGTATTGAAGTTTATACAATAATTTAATTTCACCTACATTTGTTTCTGCTGTTGAAAAGGTCAGAAGGTCATCAAACCGTGCCAACTTCTATTCCTATGCCTTTAAATATAACCTAACTGGTAGGTGTTATCTTTTTTTTTTTTTAATCAACTTCTGCTATTAGATTAATTCCCGTCTTTGATTCATTGATGCTCATTAGTTTGTATCTTTGTTTTTCTAGAGGAGAAGCAGAAATTCATTGACACGGAGACTGTATGTGCACTGTTGAATCTTGTTCTACGATCCGAATTTCTGCCTCAAGTAGATGCACTTATTCATTATCTCAAGGTGCGGATTTTATTGCACGAACCCCTATCTATTCAAAATTAATAACGATGAGTTATCCTACCAACCAAACGAGGCCTTAATGTGTATGCGCACTTTATGGTTGATTTTCAGATACAAACTGATTACAGGGTCATTAACATGGATCAGTGGATGGGCTTCTATCGGTTTTGCAATGAGGTAATTTTAATTAATTAGTCCATACAAAAATGTGATTATGTGATGGATAATAGATACTAATCGAAGTTTCTTGTGGCAGATAAATTTTCCAGAGCTTGACAATTATGATTCAGATCAGGCATGGCCCTTGATTGTTGACGATTTTGTCGATTGGATAAGATCGCATCGCGGTTGATCGCAGCACACAGTAATTTGCATTGCCTGCAGCGATTCTTATCATACTCAAAGTAACAAAAAAAAAAAAAAAAAAAAAAAAACGAAAAACCATAAACTGAGAGTGCTCCTACATTTCGAGCACTTGTATTTCCGTAAACTCCTTAACATTCTTGTACATGTATATACAAATATCCATAGGGTTGAGTACATTTACGCACAATTGTGCAGCATACACGTATGAAAGTCGTTTTATACTCGTGTATGATTGGATTTATCGAGTGTAGTATAGAATATATTGTTTGTGATTATTGATTGGTAAGTAAGCGGGGTCCGGTTGCAGGTATGCCATTGGACTTAAACAGTAGTAAAGAACAACACTTTTGGAGACAAAATAAATCCGAGGGTTGGTAAATCAAGAAAAGAGTGCGTCTTGATTAAGCTCGAAAGTAGTTAGAATAAGAACATGCTTTTTAAAAAGAACATGTTCTCTTATTATGAATGGGGCCATGCTTAATTACTCGATTTAATTAAGTATTTAAGTATGCATGGATTATTCCTCGATTAATTCTCTTTTAAAACCGATGTGTCGTTGGAATTCGAAAGTAACAAATAAACGATTAATATTTTGCATCGATGGAGTAGTTTTCTTGAAGATTAGTTGGCTGTGTTTTTCAGAGTGGTACTATAATATATGGAAGATGTCATAATTTAGTCCCGGAATTTGCTGAGCTTTTATGAAAGTAATATAAAGATTATTCCACTAATTAAAGTTTATTCCAACTAACACGTAGCTGCAATAAAATGTTTTATGTACTAGTTCCCCTAATGCAACATAAAATACCTACTTATTTATTTCGGTTTTGTAGATGCTACACCCGGTGAAATTACATTGGGTGATCTTGAACTATTGATCCGAACGTGTGTGCAATTTAACAATTAAAAACTTCGGATATAACACCATGGTGATTGTATCTTTAAACGATCTATGTTTATTAGCTTTCTACCTTCTGGAAATGAATGAATTTTCGACTTATTTTTAGAAATATAATAAATTCATGTATATTATCTTATTTGTAAAATACTATTTTTTACGTATTATATAACTCGTTTTTTATGAATAAAATTAAATAATTTATAAGTTCCAAAAAAATTATTTGAAAAAAAAGGAAACATGTAATTCACACTAATGTGCAGTTTATACAGATCTCTCAAAGGCTGCTTCTCATAAAAAAAACACTATCAGCATTATAAGATTACATGAGAGAGAAAAAAAAAATTTAAAAAGAAAATAATAATAATCAATGAGAGAAATAAATATTGGATCCGTAAATTAACATTTGAGAACACTAATTTGCAGCAGAATCAAGAATCAAATGTGAAGATTGGGGCAGAGAGCTTCTGCTTCGACTATTGCTGATGGTGGCTGCTAATGGAGGCGAGCAAGACGAAGATTTCGACGAATTTGAAGACGAATTAGAGGACCTATTCGAACGGCTTCTCAATTTCTTCTTCTCCACCACTTGTTCGCATGCTTTGTCTTCTATTTTATTATGGTGCCCAACTTTTGTCGAATTTAAATTCGCTGGAATAATGCAGTGGCACAACAAACCTAAACAACAAACATATTATATATCAATATCAACAATTAAAAAAAAAAAAGAATAAAAAATCACGATAACAAATTCATCGAGTTTGTCTTAATGAATTTGTTTTGTCTCGAAGGATGAAAAAAATGGCGAAACTCCCTTCATTCGAGTTGCATTTTTTGGGCTCGGATTGAATTGGTAATATCAAAGCTAAGAATTTTAAGTTCATACTTACGATGGATTTACAGTTAACTCACCGGTGTTTAGGCGGACTTCACTCGACTCTCGATTTTTTTTTTAAATATTAGTACATTTTACTTCTTCATTTGGGACATATGTACTATAATTCAATTAATGGGAGTAGAACTATGTACCGATTCTGGCGAGGCGATTAACCCAACTGGGAATCGGGAATCCGGTGAGTTTAACGGAGGCGTCGTGGCAGAAGTGGTTGCAGTTCTTGGTGATGAGGTTGTAAGCATCACCCCTGTATTTGTCAGCAAGACCCTCCATAACTTTTCTTACATCTCCACAGCTCAAATCAGTCCAACCAATCAGAATCGACTTTCGGAATGTGAACCCTTCGCACTGCTTCGGCTCCCCTTCGAATATCCCGGTTGTCGGATAATCGTGTGCCCCGAATGCATACTCCACTCCATGAACTGCCCAATCAACAAAAACATCAAAAATTAAAAAAATAAAAACACAATCTTTGTGTTCTTGATATACACTCTACTCCATGAACTGCCCAATCAACAAAAACATTAAAAATAAAAAAATTTAAAAACACAATCTTGAAAGTAATATTTTTTTTAATCAAGACATGGGTATTTTTGTGTTCTTGATATGCATACTCTACTCCAAGAACTGGCCAATCAAAAAATTAAAATTAAAATTAAAAATTAAAAACACAATCTTGAAAAGTAATTTTTTTTTATATAATTACTAAAATCAAGAAATGGGTATTTATGTGTTCTTGAATTTGTGAAGAACTGACCTTGAATACCGGAATGGTAAACACCGAGTCCAAGCCAGTAAGCGTAGCCATTGATGGGGGTTAGATCATACACGTTTAGATGTACAGGAACCGATCCGGGTTTTTTCGTTACGAAGTTTTTCCGGCATAACATTTTGCAAATTCTAGAGAGAGAAAGAGGATAGAGAGAGAGAGAGAGAGAGAGAGGGTTTTGATGGCAATTACCCGTTACTGTTTGGCCATAACCATTTGCGCTACAAATCAGAAGCTGATAAGTTTCCAGAAAAATCTCAACTGAAAATCATGATTTTCAAATTTAAAAATATATGGGGGGGGGTGGGGGTGGGGGTGGGGTTGGGGGGTGGAATTGAGCGGCGTAATCAGGTGGAGAGGTGTCGTCTTTTTACGGACCACTGAGGTTTATTATAATAATAAAATGTAGAATGTAAAAGAAGCAGGTGACTGTGTTTGGAATCTGAGCTGGCGTGATTTTAATTATTATTATTTTTATTTTTATAAATGATTAAAAATAAAATAAAGTAACGTAAACTAATTATGAGGTGCATTGGGGGAGTGTCAATTTATATTGGGGTTGGAATAGTTAATTAGTTTATGGAATGATGATCTGTGATTAGGTTATAAAGTGATTATTATATATGGGAGTTTAGTTTACATTGGTGGACCCAAGTCCTAACTCCTAATCACATGTTTCTCTATTTGTTAGACCAGAATCCGAAATCACTCGTCTCCAGCGCCCTTATTTTTTGGTCCGATAAATATTTGATGGACAAATGTAAAATTATGGTGATTCAGTGGCTCGTTAAGATAGCGGACTAGAGTTTAGTGTCCACAAGAAACCAACTCTCGTTGGAGTTGAAATTTCTATATTACGGCTGCCAGTATATTATTAAAATAAAAAATATATGTCCAAATATATTATTACCCTCGCCAAATATATTATTTAATATATGTATATTATATTTCAATAAAAGTTTCTTGCCAAAATGGGTTCTATGGTGTAGTGGTTAGCACTCTGGACTTTGAATCCAGCGACCTGGGTTCGACTCCCGGTAGGACCTTTTATTTTAATTAATCCATTCACATATATGTAGTGAATTTAATTAATTTTTGGTTAAATTGTTTTATAAACTCCAACGTGTTTTTTTTTTTCTTTTAACCATTGTTATTTATTTTATTTTAAGATTTTTATATGGAACTTATAAGATTCCAAAATCCTATATAAATTCTTCAATATATTTTGTTAAATACCAAACACCCTGCAAGATACTTATTATGCAGCCTTGTTTAATTTCCTTTTCTAATTTTTTATTTGAACTTTAATATTAAAAATTTCATGTCCCAATAGATAAATGGGTTAAGAAATAATCATTGAGTACATTTTGACTAGTCAACAAGTTGGAGAAGACAAAATCATGTGAATTTATAGATAATGAAAATAATGTCGTACAAAGATGATTAAATTAAAAGAAACTAAACAACAATATACGTACAAATCGTTCAATCATTCATATTCCGACCAAACACTTGCTCCCATTTTTCGGCATTATCGATAAAATATTTTAGGGAAAATCGGAACTTTATTTAAGCGTGAAATCGAAATTAGCGGATTTCGGAAATTCTGTTTAATTTTCAGCCTCTTAGATAATGTCTATTTACAAAAAAATCCACCCCTGAAATTTGTAAATATCGATAACACCCTTTGTAGGGATGGATGTAAAAAATTTACAAACTTCAAGTCATTGGATGTAATTTTAAAAAATTAGAGTTTGTTTTGTAATTACACTCTGTCTCAAGGAGGTGGTTGCAATTTATCCATAAATAACAACAAATATATAATAATTGGGCCTTAAATTTTAGAGTGGGAATCATTATAAAATCAGCCCATTCATTTCTACTGGCCCTTCAAAATATGGTGCTTTGATTTATTTATTTATTATTTTTTGAAAAAAAAAAAAAAAAAATGATAAGTGGAAAAGGGAAAAACCCTCCCACAATCCTTAAACCCTAACCAGATTCTTTCTGCAAGTAATTAATTCTCCACATCAATTCACCCAAAAATGGCGCATCGATTGGCCCGAGGATTACGGGGAGCAGTGAAAAACCTCGTCTTTCAGCAGCAAATCAAACCCTCGAATCATTTTCTCAAATCCCCAATCAGAAATTACATGTCGGAAATGCGAAAATCGGCTTTCGAAGGCAACATGCTCCGCCTGATTCGAAGCGAAATCCAGTACGAGCTCGACCATTCCCCTCCTTCCGAGGTATTAATTTTTTCTTATGATCTGTGATAATTCTCTAGATCATCGAATTCTTTAGGGTTTGGAAGTTTAATTTTGTCTAAATTGTGTTCGGATAATAGTTTTAATTATTGGGGAAATGTAGGGTTACTGTTATGTATTCTGTTTGCCATTTACTTTTTGAATTTACTGATGAATTCGTGGAGCGGAATAGTATTTTTTTTCGGTTTTTAGTATTTGATCGAGTTTTCGGTAGTTTTTTCTGGTATGCTTGGCTGAGAGTTGAAGGCGAATAAACGAAGATAATTTTGTTCGGGAGCTCGAAGGAATCGTATAAGCTTCACATTAAGAGTGAGAATGTGATGAAGTGTTAATCTTTTTTACGTTTTTCCCAATAAAAAAAATGGGTAACGTTATGCAGTTTCGATTTTCCCGATGTGTACGATTTTTATGAAATATGTTTTGGAATAATTGGCCCTAGAGAAGTTTACATTATGATCTTTTTAGTTTTTAGGGCTTTTTAATAAGGAATAAGGCCCCGTTGGACACCGTTCTGTTATATTTAATGAGATCGGGATATGAGTATATACATATAGGCCTCGTTTGGTTGATAAGATTAGCCATAATTAATTAAATAGTTGGTCTTTATTCGATGTTTGGTTAGTCCAACAATAATTTTCCGGGCCGGCCCGGAATTGTGTAAAATGCCTCTAATCTTGGCTAATTGGGAGAGTATTTATTCGATCTCCTATGGTCCAACAATATAATTGGGTTTATCATGAGATTAGTTAATCTTATCTTGGCTAATCTTATCTTAGGAACCAAACGGGGCCACAATGATTTATGATTTTATAATATTCACATGTGTAATTGTGGGAGCAAATTTCTTTTTGCATTTTGCTGGGAATCTCTTCTCCTTCGTTGTTCATCATTGGCAAAACTATTTCTCGAGTAGCACTTTGTGACATGGATTCGAAAAATCGTTGTTGTACTCTGTAGGGAGTTGATTAAAGGTTAACTTGTTCGAAATTTAGTATTTGTGTGCGTTTTAAACACGATATTTTTTCTGTACTTGGATTCTTGAACAACCATAGATGAAAACTGAATTGGGACCTTAATTTGCTATTGCGTACAGCCTATACCAGAGTTCAATACATTCAAAGTCGATGAACTGCCAGGTCAGCAGTGGATCCGATTAACCAAAAAATTCAGACAGAGCGAAGATATCAAAATCGAAGTGACGATGTTCGATGGAGCTTTCCCCATGAAACAAGACGATGATACCCCTGAGAATATGAAGCCCCATATAACTTTTATAGTCGATGTATTTAAAGGTGAAGGCACTGACATACTGGAGTTTATTTGCTCTGCATGGCCTGATAGTATCGAGATTCGCAACGTATTTACGCGTGGGCATAATCGAATATCAGATTACCATTACATGGGTCCCGGTTTCAAGTATGCTCCTCATTCATTTCGTTTCCACATTCTTAATTATTACATGCCTCGTAATGTTTTTTTTTTTTTGTTTTTTAGGGAATTGGATGATGAACTGCAGACGTCGCTCTATGATTACTTAGAAACGAGGGGAGTAGATGATAAGTTGGCTGAATTTCTGCATCGGTATATGATAAACAAGGATAAAAACGAGTACCTTCGTTGGATGGAAAAGCTGAAATCTTTCATTGAAAAGAAATAGAGACAAAAAAAACGAGGTATCTTATTTTCCTTACTAACTTCGGCTCCCTTCAACTTTGAAATTCATTTGTCCTTTTTCATGGTATTCATGGAATGCAATCATTCGGTGTTCTGTCTTAGTGCTTATATGTTTGTAATGTAAGAATAACTTACAAACCCGAGTCGAACCGAAGAAAACATAGAATGAAAATTCTCCAAATATTTTTGCAGCCCAATTGTTTGTGATATTAGATTCTCCCTTTTTTTATATTTAGAAATACTTGAATTTGGACAAAGGAATATGCAACCACATATGTGTACTGGGTAAAACTTCACTCTCGTGCTGACTTAAAACCATACTTATTTCTTACGGACTCGCCACGGTTTCTTTTGGATGCATAATGACATTATTGCACAATTTTATTGTGGTGGTTGTATGATTATTTAAAACTTTGTTCCCCTTTGATGCAACTCAATTTGTTTCATTCCATTAATTACTTGGCAATGTCAAGTTATTAATGATGTGTCCCACATTGACCATTACACTAATCATGCCCAAATGCAACACCAAGTATAAGAGATGAATCCACTTGATTTTACACAATGTGGTATGAAGAATTTGTACTAGCATTTTGGATGTATATACAATTTCGAATGATTTGCGCGGTTAATAATAGTATGAACTTTTAGATGAAGTTGTCGTTTAACACGGTATCAGAGTCAAATGCTACACCTCAATAGTAGTTTAAGTTTTTATACTAGGCTTTGATTTCATATTAATCGTAGAAGTTCGATCGAACTTGTGAAAAAAATAGTTACAATATAAAGAGATTAGACTATTGGATTTCAAAATGTGTTGAACTTATATTAGAGATTGTTATGATTTTTATTGTATTGGTGATCAAATCAAGAGTGTAAACATACTATTTGATATGAAATGTGCTCAAATTAAGGGTGGTATTCGGAAAGGAATTTTTGAATTCGCCGATTCCGATCCAAAAATTTCCAGTTAAGGGTTGAATCAAATTTCGAGTTTCCAAAATTCTGGTTTTCAATTTTATTTTGATTTTTTTTTTTTTGAAATTTGAATACATATAAAATTTGATTTGTGATCCTATTTAAATTTTAAAAAATAATGTCATTATTCCAATTTTTTCAATAATGTATTTATAATATTAATTTTATTATGTATTTTATTTTACGATTCCGCTAGTTTCGATCTAAAATGTTCAGATTTTGTAACAAGTCTTTTCATTCAAAATTCTGAAATTCCATTCTCTGATTTTTCTCGGTTTCTTTTCACGAAAATGCTAATTCTAATTCGATTAGATCGTAAAATTTTCACACTAGTTCAGTACGATCCAAATTATTTACATCCATATTCTAGTTAGTTCACAAACCATCTGATGTAATAAAACTTAATAATATTTTAAATAAGAAATGATGATCTCATCATATTATATATATACACAACTTGAAAAAAGAAACAGCTGGAAGACTCAAACAACTCAAAACTGTATCTTTCAAAACATAATCCAGAATTAAATGACTAGATTACGGTTACAGTTAAGGATAATGACATGATTAATTAAGTTAAACAATGACTACGATGTGGGCCCCACCGTGCCACCATTAAGGATAGTATAATCCTGTTTTATGTAAGTAATCAATGAGATCAAAGATTCTGCAGATCTTTTGTGTTGATGTGATTTCAGAGTTTAAAGGGTCACAAATTAATTATTGAAAATAAAAAAACAGGAAAATAACAAAATAATATTTAATTAATTAAAATAAATAAATAAAAATAATTTCGTCATGTGTCCACCAACCTATCGATGACGACTGCTCAATAGATGGTCTATTGCTCCAACTGTAGGTGGGTCATAAACTACCACTTACCCTAAAAATTATATATTTATATTTATTAATAATAAATTAAAATTTACAAGTGAATGAACTTTTAAGTTATGGCTCATCCGGTTACAATTATTGCGAGTTATATTGATTAAATAGTACAGGCTAATAAT